ACGTATACACGTATCCCCTCTTTTTTGGATTTCCTTCCCATTTAGGTCACCACAGAGCACTGAGAAGTGTTCCCTGTGCTGTACGGTAGGTTCTCATTAGTTACCTATTTTATACATAGTAGTGTACGTATGTCAATCCCAATCTCCCAGTTCATCCCACCCTCCCTTCTCCCCCAGTACCTTGCTAGCTTTTAATTTGGGGGGGGGGGTTCTACTTAATTTATGAGGTATCTAATCTTCACCTGGTTATCCACAATGTATAACATAATGGCTGATAAAGAGTAGGCATAGGGCTTCCCTGGTGGCACAGTGATTGAGAGTCCGCCTGCCGGTGCAGGGGACGCAGGTTCGTGCCCTGCTCCGGGAAGATCCCACATGCCGCGGAGAGGCTGGGCCCGTGAGCCATGGCCACTGAGCCTGAGCATCCGGAGCCTGTGCTCCGCAACGGGAGAGGCCACAGCAGTCAGAGGCCCGCGTACCGCAAAAAAAAAAAAAAAAAAAAGTAGGCATAAAATGAAGTTTGCTGAACAAATGAATGAATCTTTTTATATGTAAGATAATATGTCATATGTAACAAATACGTTCCCAGTTTGTCCTTTTCCTTTTGATTTAATGAGGGAAACTTAGACATGCAAAAATTTTCTTTTTATGTAATCACATATTTATGCTTGGTGGTTTCTGTCTTTGGGATCAAGACAAGCAAGGCTCAATTATAATAATTTTTTGAAATGCCTACATTTTTAATTAAAAATATTTAATTCAAATATGTTTCAGTTTATGATATGAAATTAGATATCTAACCTTTTTTTTTTAATGCTTAACTAGTTGGCCCAACACCGTTTGTTAAACATGCCATATTTTCCACATTGACTTGAGATGTCTCCTCACCCAAACAAATACTTCTGTATTTATATTATTCGTGTGTACAAAAACTGTTTATTTTTAAGTGTTCTCTTCTGTTGCATGACATTTCTATATGTTCCTGCAAAACCCCATATTCTTCTAATTACTGAAACTTAAAATAGGTTTTCAAGTCTGGTAGGGCAAGGCCCTCTCATTTTTCAAAATGCGGGGTCCTACTTTAGCACCTTTACTTTTACAGGTGAACTTTTGTAAAGTTTCCCCAAACATTTTGTTGGTACATTGATTGGCACTGTGTTAAATTTATTCATTAATCGACATCTTTACAATATTAAATCTTCCCACCTCACCGCCAGCTGGAAGTATTTTGTCCTTCCTCTGAACTCCCTTAGCACTTTATACCTTTTTAAAAATCACTTTTCTAAGCTATACCCACCCAATTTTTCAAACCTGAAACCCGAGAGTCGTCCCCTCCCCTTCCTTCCCCAACCTTCACCCCATCCAATCAATCATCAAGTCCCGTCAATGTTACCTCCTAAATTTCATCCACTTCTGCCTGTCCCCACCACCAGCACTCTAGTCCAAGCTGCCATCATTTCTGGCCGGGGCCACCACACTGGCCTCCAACCGACCTCCCTAGCTTCCAAGCCATTCTCACTGCTGCAGCCGGAATACTCTTTTAAAAGGCAAATCTGATCATGGCACTCCCAGCTTTAACTATTCCAACAGCTCCCCATGGCACTTGGGATAGAGCCAAACAAGCAGGCTCAACCCTCTCTTCCAGCTTGAACCCAACCCCTCTTTAACATTCTTTCTTCCCTGTTCATGGTTGCCATCAAACATATCCCATGTTCTTTCCTACCACAGGGCCTTTGCACACACATACTATTTCATGTGTTTGAACTGTCCTTAACCTTCCCTATCATTTTAAGATTCCTCTGACATATATCCCCAGCATCCTACACAACTCGTCACATTTGTAATTCCTTGTTCAAGTCAGCCTCCGTGATGATAACAGTAATAGCAATAATAATATTAATAATATACACCTTTTGAATAATAAGATACAGTTGCTCTCTATTTCAAATGCTTTACGTGCAGAGGTGCTCTAGACCTGGTGTGTACCAGCTCATGAGAGCAGGCTGTTAAATTTTCAGGAATGCTGTGAGCTAGCTGATGTCATACTGGTAGCTTGAAATCAGCCATGGTGAGAGTAACTGCACCATGGAAATCAGCAAATGCTACAAACCAATGCTCCCCTGCCCCTTTTCCCTGGAGAGCTGGCTGTTAAACCTTTACCGGCACACCACTGTTGCCATGCACTGTATTAGTTAGTCATCATCACAGGTCTGGAAGGTAGGTAGCCCATTTTCTAGATGGGGAAACTAAGAGGTTAAGTCACTCCTGCAAGATTTAAAGCTATGTAGAGGCCAGCCAAGCTGTGCGTCCAGCCAGTCTGACCCCAAAGCATGAGCAGTTCACGTTTATTTCACTATATCATAACGTTGAGGAAGGAAGGTGCCCCCTGGCCTGACTGGTCTGCAGCGTCCCCAGCACAGAGCACAGGGCTGAGCAGAATGGGCACGTTCAACTGATATTTGCTTCAGGAATAAGTCAACGATGTCTCAGCACATCAGGAAAACAGAACTATTTGCCGACACTGCATTGCTAAACAGAAGTCACCAGACAGGATGGCCAGAGCCCTGAGTCCTTGTTCTGACTCCACATTGAATTCAATGGGCAAGTCATTTCTCCCTGGGTCTCAGTTTTCTCACCTGCAACAGAGGGAGTCAGATGCTCTTCGATGTCTCATTATCTCTAAAATTTCTGGATTTACATGTAACAAAACATCTATTATTTTTACTGTTATGTGGGCTCCTTTTCTTAAAAATCAGCCTTATCCCCACCTCTCAGGCTGTCATCTGTTCTCTACCTGAGACATTTACCCCCAATTCATTGACTGCCAGGTGCTATTCTAGCTAACACTGGTGAACCAAACAGAAAACCCAGCCCCAAGGAGGTCCAGGGACAGAGGAAATGTGAATGGAGAGGACAGGAGGTCAAAAAGATAAGGACGGAGGCAGACAGATTTCCACACCTGCGATACATGTCTCTGCTCAATGCCCCTTCCTCAGAGAGACCCTCCCTCATTCTCTATCCTGTCCCTGTCACTATCTGAAATTACATCATGTATGTTCTTGTTGTCTGTCTCCCCCTCTAGAATGCAAGCTTTATTAAGATGGGGGGCTTTATCTTGCCCGCTTCTATATCCCAGAGCCCAGAGCTGTGCCAGCCCATGGTAGGCATGTAATAAATGCTCATTTAAATGACTCAAAAACAATATCCCTTTGGAGCTAGAATAGTAAATATTTTATTGCAACTGCAATAGAGTCTTCCATAGATCCACAAAAAAAGGTAACCCAACCAAGATGTGCCTATCACAGAGAGAAAACCTCAAAGGCAAAATGTTAAATATATACCTAAAAATCACCCTCTTCCACCTACTCCTAACCGATACCTAACCCGACATTTACGCTTAAACAAGAACAGGAGGTTAAGTCCAAATGAGAAAGAATACACTATAAAATAATATTATTAGAAATTCATAATATGTCTGATATAGTTTCTTGATTTCTATATTTCTTTCTTTCCCCTTATCTTCTCTTCAAAACAACAATATTCTAGTTGATCTCCCTGCCCTCAGCTGTTCCCCTGACTAACTCAGTCTTTATAAATCAACAGCATTCGTTTTTCCTAAGATAACAGCTTTGAGTTACTCTCCCTCACATAGGAACCTTCAATGTCATCTTAGATCTTGCCAAATTAAGTCCTAGCTCCCACACAAGGCCTTTTTTTTCATTTTTTAAAACTGTGGTAAAATACACATAACAAAATTTACCCTTTTAACCCACTTGTAAATGTGCAGTTCAGTAGTGTGAAGTACATTCACTTTGTTGTGCAGCCAACCTCCAGAACTTCTGCATCTCGCAAAACTAAAACTCTGTACCCGTTAAACGATTGCCCCCATTCCCCCAGCTCTGGTTACCACCATTCGACTCTCTGTCTCTATGAACGTGAACTTTACATCAGTTCCCCAGGCTTTACTTCATGTGACCCTGCTTTACATCACTTCCGCAGGCTTTTTTTTTACGTCTATTCCCCAGGCTTTTCATCACGTGACCTTGTTTGATATCACGTGACCCTGTTTTAGGCACCATACAGAACTTTTGAGCTGTTTTATGGTTTCCTTCCCTGCCATGCCTAGCTCATCTCAGCTAAGTTCTGGTATAAGTTCTACCTAAATGGATCCCCACAGCTGTTGAACCAGCCTTCTCTCCTCCAGATACAGGCACATGTCACCCTTTGCACCTTTGCACGTAAGAGTCCCATAGTTGAAACTCTCTTCCTTTTTCTCTTTACCTATCCAAATCCTCCCCATCCTTAAAAATGGTCTTCAATTTCATCTCCTTGAAACCTCATCCCACTACTCTAGTCCACATGAAAGTCACTCTTCCTGAAACTCGTATTCCATTCACTGGAAATACTAAACATTTTTAAACACTCTAATTCTCCTGCTGTTCCGTGCAATATACCATTGCCTCTTCCAATAGTTCCTAAATTTCCAAATAGCGACCATGTTTTCTATGTCGTTGTCCCTTTAACCTGGAAAAAAGTAGTAGATACAATGTAGGCATTCAACAAATATTGAACCAATTAGATAATTTCTACTTTCAAAAAATTTTTAAATAATTTGAATCACTCTGCAGCATCATTAGGCAACTTTCTTGAATCCTTTTCAAGAAAATTTAGTTATAGCCAGCAACTTTGTTGAATTTTTTAATCTGATTTGCCTGGATAAAAATCTATTCTAGCATGGTTCCAGCTGAATTAAATTCATAAGGATGGACTCCTGAAATGAGATGCCATGACCGTCTCCCAGACTGCAGAAATTGCTTACATAAAATACAAATTTAGAATCAGGTTCACATGTCCCCGTTCAATGCCTGTCACCCAGTCCACACTTCCCACACCAGTAGAAAGACCTAGAAGAGTTAGAATGATTATAAAGTGTAAAAAGCAGGAACTAGAGCAAAGGTGAACCAGGAGCCAGTCTCCCTTGGCATCATTTTCTCACCCACCTGTGTAAATGAACCTTCCTGGAGCTCCTTTGCAGAACTGTTTGGATTTATAAGATAATGTCACTTCTACGACTCCAGGAATGTGCCGAGGAGGAGTCTGCACTCTGATGGCATGAGGAGTTATTAGCTGAGGAATGAACAGGCAGAGAAATAAAATACCTATTATACAAGTTATCATAAGGATACTGAGCACAGGAGCATCTCCTGCTGCTACCCCCATCCCCATCCAGGGCAAACTGGTGCACTCATGACACCCCAGATGCTTTGAATGCCCTGTCCCTGTGTCTCATGTGTTTCTCTCTCTCACCCTGGAATTTCCTTTCAACCCAACCTGTGTACGCTTCCCTTCCTATCAGCCCAGCTCAAGTGCCTCTCACCTCCTGTGCCCCCCCCCAACCCCCATCCCTGTCATCATTCCCTTCCCTCATTCCTACACTGCCATGACCTCACAAATTGATTTGGCAATTTCCATTACAAACTTAGCACTGTTACATATCTTTTGGTAACCTGTTTTGCTGTTTTTCTCATTATCGCAGTAGAAAAATTGGAAATTACAGAAAAATAAAGAGAAAAATGTTAACATTGCATAACCCAGAGACAACCGTTATTAATCTTCGGCATGTTTCCAGTACTTTTCTATGGTTGTGTGTTATATAATTAGATCTTACATCCATAGATACTGTTGTCCTGGTTTTCTTTCGCTGAGCATTATAGCATGTGTTCCCTTTTCCTGTATCATTAAAAATATTTCAAATAAAAGTTTTAAATAAATGATGACACTTCATCATTGAACCATTCTCCTATTAGCTGGTATCTAGCCAGTTTCTAATTTTTCTCAATTATAAACAGTACTGCAGTGAATATTTATCTTTTTAAGGGATCCATGCCTGCAGTAAATTGTGGCTTCCATGTCTTTTAATCCTGGTGCCCCACTTATCATAGGTACTCAATAGTGTGTGTTCATGTTGCTGGCATTGCAGAATTACTAGTTTCCCCAGATCAAAACAATCTTTGGGGCAAAGAAAATCAGGGAAGCGAGTTGCCTTTGCCTACCTCACTCCATACAAGCATAGTCCCAAACACCACTTGGAGGCCATCAAAGAAGTTGTCCCCAATGATGATGACCATGGCTCCTCCGGTGGTCCAGCCTTCACTCGGGCTAATGGCTTTGATGCATGGAGTAGCTAAGAAGATAGGAAAGAAGGAATCAGGTTTGCCCTTTGGTGGTTGAAGTTTGGAGTTTGGGGGCTGGGTGCTCTTGGTCATCTCAGAAGTTCAAGTTGAGCTTTGCTGACTTGCCATCATTCCCCAACTGGTTGTTGGTTTTCACCAGGTCATTAAAGCCTAATGAGTTGACCACTACATATGAAAATGGCTAATTGTGCAAAAGGTGCTTTTAAAACTCTGTTGTTTTCACCGTCTTTTTATAAGTTGATCACACTACAAATGGGTAAATCCCTTTTCTCTCCTCACCTCCTCTGTCCCGAGATGTTAAGATCTACAAGGTCTGTTAATGTGCTAGAGAGAGAAGGAGAAAGCAAAATCTCTCAGAGTTGAAGGTTTTTTTCATCTCTATCAAGAGACAATTTCTAATCACTTTCCTAACTTTGTAGGAAGGATTTTCCCTCCTTCTTCCATATGTTCAAGGCCTCTGGACTTTACATCCCAACAGGAACCCAATATGGTTTTCAGGCCATAACTAAAGTCAATCCATCACTCCATTTCCAAAGTTGACAGGGTCAAAGGTGGAGGAGAACTTTGGCAGGACTCCAAAAACATGAACCCCCTTTGAACAGCTAGTCAATCACATCCAATCAGTCAAAAGAAACTGGATGGGTTCCTAGTTCTGAACCCTGGGATTTTCTTCTCCCCTTTCAGTGCCCACTGTGGGAGAATTAACACCACTCCAAATTCTTTAGTGATTCAATCATTTTCTTTCAGTTCATTAATTCCTGTTTGAAACGATACAAGACACATTTTAAGGGCCAAGATGGGGTGGGGTCTGGTGGGCAGTATACAGCAAGACATCACACTAAAATAGGAGCCCCATTTAGCCATTCATTCTATATTACAAGAGTTGAGTTGTACACTAATGAGTTGAGGAGTGGGGAAAAAAGAATGTAGATGGGATTTACTTAGGTTTGTCAGTTATCTTCCTCGATATACTTTATTTTCTTGGACAACTTGAAGTTTAACAGTTACCAGTATTTCTAATTACTTGAACGCACTTGGAAAACTACCCAGAGCAGACCATGATTTCTTCTTGTCCAAGCAAACAAAAATCAATTAGTGTCAGTTTCATTCTGCACATTGTTTTTGTTTTGCCCACAATCTGTTTAAGGGCACATCTGACACTTATTCATACACGTCTGGCACGGTAATGTTCCTGTTTAACTAAGATGTCATAGGCCTACATTTGCCTGAAATGCCCCTCTAGCAAAAAAAGAAAAAAAAAGAAAAAAGAAAACCCCACTGAACTGAATGAAAGAGCCGGTGAGGCACGGGGGCCTGAACATTGGCTGGGAGATGTGTGGGGCTTACATGAAAGCAGGCAGAAGTCACTGTTTACAGCTTCATTTTTAAATCCACATGGTCTTGTGTACTTTCTCCACTCCTACTCAGAGACATCAATTTGAAACTCAAACAAGGAAATTTGTGGAGAACATCATTTGTCTGCTAGGCTCAGCCTGGACAGCAGAGAGCCCTACCTTCCGATGGGTCCAGCCTTCTCGCTCTCCGCCCGTGCTTTGAGTTGTTATGAACAAACATGTTGTCGGAAACAGCCAGCACGTGTCCATCCACGTTCACCGTTGTTGACAACACGACCTGCAGATTTCAAGGGTAAAGCGGGGGCGGGGGGGGGGGGGGTTGAGTTAATCTCTCAGAAAGTCGTAAAAGTTGCAAAACTCTTTTGCCAGACTTCCGTATGGCTAACAAGAGACGGACCAGAACTTTGGGGTGAGCCATGCCCCTGGCATCTCAACGGGTTAGCCTTTTCCTGTAACAATAGCAGAGCGTCATGGAAAAAGAGGCCCCCTTTCGCCCATGTGCTGTCACGTATTTGTGCTCCAACTATGCCCAGGTGATGAAGTGTGGAAGATGGCAATCTGACTGGCTGGTTCTAGGAACCTCATCTCTATCAAAGGACTTGGACGATCATTCCCAGGTGACCCTTCGGACTGCAGTCAAGGAGCAGATTGTGTGTGGTCAGGAAGCTAAGACAGAAACACCAGCTGGGAGGTCATTTCTCATTTCTCGGGAATGGGTTCTTGAACATCTGACGTGTGCCAAAGTAACGCTGGGGTATGGACATGCTGCCTGATGTCCTGATGTACCTGGTGTCCCCCATGCTGGAGAGCAGCGGCGGAGATGCTCAGACCTTGGGTGAGAAGGTAAGGTTTCGGAATTCAGTGTTGAAAATGTAGGACGTTTAGCATCTAACCAGACGAAAGGGAAGTGATGGGTGTGGAGAAGTGGAAGGGCATGATGTAAAGTCCAACAAAACGGAACTCAAATTCCATGCCTGCTACTTCCTAACTTAGAACCTTTGACGAATTATACTTAACCTTTTCGGATGTCCACTTTTCTTATCTGTAAAACATACACAACAATGCCTATCTTGAGGACTGAATGAGATAAAATAAGGATAAAATGAGAAAATAAATGTAAAGCATTTATGGATGAGTTCCCATCCTAGTTGCCTCGCCCCTGCCTTGTTTGGCCAGTCGATAGGACAGAGGATATTACTCATTGAGCCCCTCCCATAGTCTAAGCTCTGGAGGGGAGGCTTCAGCAAGGGGGACTCAGGGGCTCGGTAACCACAAAAGTTACAAGGCACAGTCCCTACCCTCAAAGAGCTTACTTTCAGGTTGGAGAAACATGGCAAACAAGCAAAACAAGTAGCACACAGAATGAGGTCAGATTGGCTTCTATGTGTGTGCTGCAGATCAGGGTGCAGGAGAAGTTCAAACAGGTGGCCATCAGGTGGAACCGTGGGAAAGCACAGCAGAAACGCATTGACTTGGGCATAGCCACCACCTACTTATTGACCCAGGAAAGTGAGTCATCCTAGATACCAGTCTACTTGTTAGTTACACACAGCATTTTTTTTTTTTTGAGAAAGGAACTTGTTACATACATATTCATGTATATGTATAGACCCGAGGAAAGGCATTGAATAGATACATAATGAAGAGCTGTGTCTAAAAATGGCTCTTCCTGTCCACTCCCAAATTAAATTCACTGATACTCTACTTGGAATTTTTCTGCCATCCCTTCCTTACTTATTAAACAAAGTGGGGACAAACCTTGACCCTGCCTTACCTCTTAACATGAAAGAAGATTCACTAGACAGCATTTAAAGTTTTTTTTACTATGAATTATTTCAAGTAAACAAAATAAATATAATGAACCCCCTTTTGTTAGAGTGAAATTTACACGCATTGAAATGTACAAATCTTAGCCGCACAATTTTGACAAACGGATACAACTAGGTAGTCCACACCATATCACAATACAGAACATTTCTATCTCCCCAGAAAGTTATCTGGTGCCCCTTTTCGGTCCACCCTACCCTCTACCCCTTGCCAAGGCAACACTCTCCTGAATCTTTTTAACCTCAAATAGGATTTCAGATGGTATCTCTAAAAAGAATTTTTATATATATTGTAATATAATAAGGGTTTGGGAGAACCCCTAAAATCATGAGTCCACAAAGTATTTCACCTAGCCTGGTACCATGGCATAACAGTGGCATACAGGAATTTTTACATGGACATAAATGGCTGTAGTTATCAACTCAAAAGCATTCACTGAGCTCCTGGTATGTATTGGGTATTATTATGTCAGGCCCTGGAGATCCTAAGCCCACAGAACAATGTGTTCCTGGTTGGCTAGTGTCTCTCCCACACTTCAGCTCCTCACTTGGGAAGGCACTACCGATTCGGTGCCCCTGCCTCGCTGTGACGCCAGAATGAACTTAAAGGAAACTCCGTTGTCATTCAGAAAATTGTATCAGTGTAATTGCTCACAAGTCAGGGATGCAGCCTGTCTAGCTCCAGGTCTGTTTTCAATTGTGTCCATGTTAACATGGTAAGAGTCTGGGGAAAGGCCTTCCAGAAAGTTCCTATCCTGCGGTGGCAACCGTAAGACAGAGACATCCATCACTCCCTAAAAGGGCACGAGGCACAAGCTCTTATCAGGGCCCCTCAGCAGAGCACAGGATGGAATCACAGTCAAAGGGAGAGAGGGGCTGAGTCTCCTAGTCCTGGGGTTAAGATGGACACGAAGGCTGAAAGCAATCACCTCTGCTTCTGCTTACCCGCAGAAAATAATAGGACAAAGCGGGGTAAGAAAAAGAGGAATCGGATCACCTTTATAAATTGTGTGCGTGAATGGATTTTCAAAGACATAGCTGTTAAGATGCAGGGGTGGCAAAGAAGGTGGGCTCCAAAATCGCTCTTAGTCTTTGGCTTTGTAACTGGAAGGATGCTGATTTCATCACATTATTCAGGTAAGACCAAAGAAAGAGTATGCCTTAGTTTATATGCATAAAATACCACACCCACTCCTCAGCTTAATACTTGCTGTTCCCTTGATCAGGAACACTGTTCCCGTCCTTCAACACACAAGTTAAAAAAAAAAAAAAAAAAAAAGACATAGCTGTCATCCCTGGAAAAAACCGAAAACGAGAGGGTGCTTCAGGCTTTAACTGCTAACGAGCTGTGCTAGGCGCAAGGAGGGGAACCTCAACCTGTGTGAAGATTATGTGGATGTGAAGAGCGTTCTCCCCGAGACCACGTTAATTCATTCCACAAGCTTCTTGTTATACTGTACTTGAACGCTCCTCGTGCATTCCTGCCACAAAATATGGGGCTTTCTTGAGCCAGCTGATTTCATCATTCTCCATTTGGGTGGAGTGAGACTTGGTTCCAAAGAGAACATTTCCCGAATGACATACCCCGATGGTTCAGATGCACTTCATTATTTTCTATTAACAATGGAAATAAATTTTAATCTCTTGCTGGCTAGCGCTGGCCTCTCATGACAGCAAGGGAATTAACCTGAATTATTTCAGTGTCTGCAAAATTTATTACAAGATTTTAAATTATGTCCAAATGTATGTGCGTGTGCCTGTATATATATAGATACGAGGCAAGTTCCCGTTTTTAATATTCCAAATATCTTAGACTTTGAGGGATCTAAGAGAGCCTGCCAATTTAACTGAATTTATAAAATGTAAAGGATTTGAAACTCCACCACGTGAAACCAGACATGTTTGGTGGTTGTTCTTTTTTTTTTAGGAATGGTTGTTTTTCTTATACACGGAGACACACACAAATATTGACTTTTCCATACACTCACTCTCCTTCTGGAAGAGTGAACTACATTATGGAGGTGAAGATACATTTGGTACATTCAAAGCTTCGAATTTAAGTTCCTTCACTGTTTTCTGATGAACGATGACAACACTGATATTATTCTATTCAGAGAAGTTAAAGTTTCTGAATGTTTGAAGACTGAAGGAAGTAGACTGTGCATTCCAGCATCGTCTCCCTCCCAGGCCTTCCCCTTCCACAAGCCAACTTCTTTCCCCCAGTGAGTATTTCCTGGGTCACGAAGGCTGACCTTTTCCATCTGGAATCAATCAGTCAGCCCCTGACAACTTCCTGAAACACCTCACTCCATTTCCTGTTCTCTCCCCCTTCTCTCTTTCCCCCTGGTTTGCTTCACTCTTCAAAACTGCAGGCCACAGCAGCTTAATGTTAGAGGGTCAGACACAGTTAGACTCCAAAACACTACACAAGGACACCTTTGACCTTCAAAAATCTTTACATCTTAGCTAAACAAATCAAGGTCAACATTTCTTACCATTACCTTGTTAACTATTTGTAGGCATCTTTGCCAACGATCTTCTGATCACAGACTCATCAATACCGCTTGTTCTCCTAAGATCAGAAACTGATCTGTTTTAGAAGTAGCGAATTTAGTATTGACAAAATACCATTTGTACTTTAGTTTGAGGTACCTGAAACTAAAAATTTCGAGTATTATAATAAACATATGCAGAGTATCCCACCCAAAAGGACTTCTCTGTCTCACCAGTGTCTCCTATCACCTAAACCTGATACCTAGTCTTTTATACAGCTGTCAGATTCTCTTGGCACTGCCCGAAAGGATGCCAGTTAGGAATACAGATGTCCATAATTTGTGTGGGATGGACCCCCAGCTTTTGCTGTTGACACTGGTGACAGCTTTCATTTGTTTCTCAAAGTTGGTGTATCTGTATTTCAGCTCAAAGCTCCAGTAGGAGGGTCTGCGGATCTGAAAACTAAGCCATCGTAGACTAGAGCTCTCCTCAACTGGTACGCTTCAACTCAACGCAAACGCAACAACCAATCATATTCATGCAAATATCACTTATGACAAGGTAGCTTTCATTCAAGGTGTCAAGAAAGGAGACGTAAGGATCTGCTGAAATTGCTTGCATTTTTGTAAGCGAAAGTAGTTTTTCACGTTTTGCCATTCCTCATTTTGTTTAGCGTGATCTCTAATTTTTGGTGAGGCCAGATCCATAAACGCAGACCGATTGGTGCGTGACAGCGTAGCTTCCCTTTTGAATCAATCCAATTAAACGGCAGTTTTAGCTGATTATACAGAAGTAGAAACGTGAGTAAAAAGTTTGTATGTCCCCTTGAAAACTACAAGAAAGTTTTAAGAACAAAAGCTACAACTGTGTGTGCAGTCTGCTCAAGGTACTCAAGAAAACGGATTGGCTTCCTCAAATTATATTTTCCTTCTCATTACCCAAAAGCACTCCCATGTCC